GGACCGCGCGCGCCGCCAGTGACGGACTGAGCACCGCGCGAGGCCGTCGAAGATGAAGCTGGTCGCGTCATCTGTCACTCGCGGCATTCATCAACCCACTGTGCCGCGAGCACCGTGGGGGTCCTCCAGTAGCGCATGTCGCATGTCCTCTTCGTCCGGCTTGAGTTGGAGGTGTCCGATGGGAGTCCGTCTCTCCTTGAACCGAGTCCTGCGGAGCAGGTCTAGAACCAGGCTGGCGCAGTCTTCCCCATGGCGCGTGCGAAGGGAAAGTGGGAACAGAGGCCCGAATGGCGCACAACACCCACAGCTGTGTGCTGAGTGACCGAAGAAGGCTGGCCTTATCCCAGAGCCTGAGCTCCCCCCTCGGCTATGTCAAAGCTCTAAGCGCAAGGGGCACGATTAGAACTTGAGCCAGACTGGCTTGAACCAAAAAGGCTAGATAATGGGCCGAGGGACATGTTGACTGAACCCCTGGATGCCATCATGGGCGTTTCGTAGGTGCAGGTGATGCGAAACAGATGCCAGGACTTACTTGTACAATGAGGCGTGTGGCTACACCGGTTCCCACTGAAGCGCACAAGTCCTAGCACAACGCACCATGTTGGCATTTTTGTGTGCAGCGTGCGTGATGAAGTTAGGGAGGAGCACGGTAGGGATGTAGCGTAGCAGGTGGTGTTACTAAAGCAATGTAGCAGACAGCGTCTGCTACAGCGTTCCAAGGCAGCAGCAGCCCGCGTGACGACGAATTGCCGAATTCTGCAACGGCCCCAGAACGTTGTGTTTCAGCTCGGACGACATGGCATCCCATCGTCTAGCATGTCGTGCGAGCTTCGCGCGCCGAGGGTGGCAACACCTCGCGTCCGAGGTTCCAGTGGCAACGACTTGCCTCGGCTGTGAAACTGGTGATTGACCATGTTGGCTCTAGGTACGCGTGGCTGACTGACTTCAGCACGAATGCCAGAAGAACGACATCCCGATACTTCAATCCCACGCTTCAAGAAGCCATCGTGTACGACCAAAGACTCGCTGATTCGTGACAAGCTGAATGTGACGTACAAGAGAGGCGAGCCATACCATGTACCAGTGGACGTCGCCATCAAACATCTATAATCAAATTCAAAAAAGACCTGGGCTGGAAGTGTTGTCTTGGGTTCTCTTCATATTCGATTCAATGCCGGGTCCTCCCAACATTCGACGTATCTGACCCAGGCAACAACATGTATGTATGCATATGTATAGAAGTCTTTATACGTATATAAATGTGTATTCACACACGCTGGCTTTTGCAAGTGAAGCGCGTGTCTCCATTCCTCGCGCTGGCGGTAGCCCATGTCGAACAGCAAGTGAACGCTTTTTCCGCCAAGTGAGCTGTGGCAGCGCCAGTCGCGCGACAGAACAAACAAACATATAGACAGGCGGACGGAAAGACAGAGGGCGACAGATGGAGGGATTGAAAGAGAAAACTAATGATCACCAGCTTCGCCAGGTCGAGCGTGTCAACGGGCCCCGCCCATTCCCACCCTCCCTCCCATACTACGATGACCAGAGAGAGTGATACAACTTGGCATTGGAATTGGAACACTCTCCCACCTAACAAACAGAAGGCGCTTGCGCGCGGTGCCGCTTCGGACGACTTGGCACAAAGAAAACTGGGTCGCACAAGGGCGCGAGCGGCACAACTTCCGATGAGTTCGGCGAAGACGAAGCATGCGCCCGCGCCGAAACAACACTGCCACTGTCAATTGCACCGCACACGCGCATGCGCCGACACACACACATGCGCCCACCGCACACGCACGCACGCACGCACGCACGCACGCACGCACGCACGCACATGCACACACGCACACACGCGCACACACACATTGCGCGGCGCTTGGGCGAGGACAGCATTTCGCCCTCTCGCGCGGCCATGCTGCCGCTGCCGCGCACGTTCTCGCGAACGAAACATGCGCCTGCGGGAACGCCAATTCGAAGCGAAATGTGCACGGAGTTCGGGCGAGGGCGGCAAGTCACTCGCTCGCGCGGGCCCCCAAACTTTGCGAGTGAAAGATATGCGCGCCGAGGCGGGAGAGCCACTTTCATGCGAAATCTCCGCGGCGCCGAGGCGAGCGCGACATGCTCGTCCTTGCGACATGCCCGTCCTCTCGCGCGTCTACGCACTGACGTGCTAAACATGTGCGCCGCGCCTAGGCGGGAGCTCAGTTCTCTGGAAAAGTGAGCGCAGCGCCGAGGCGAGAGCGACACTTCCCATTCACTCGGGGTGCGCGCAACTTCCCACTCCTACCACACATTTTGCCACGTGGGCGACGGAACGCTACTTTTCGATCGCTTTATACAAATATCCATCGGATGGGAACCCCTGGCTATCGGCCGACCAGGTGGCAAAGTAGGAAATAAACCAATGATGACGAATCCGCCACCGTGCCGCTAGGCACGGAGTGGGCGTGCCCTCAGGTCCTCTGCCTGATCCCTGGAGCATCAGCCTCCAGTCCTGAAAATTGTTTTACATGTCCAGACCCCAAGTTCTCAAATCCACCGGGGCTTCCCGTGCGCCCTCGGGGCTCCGGCGCGTCTCTCCGCGTGACTCTTTCGGGCCCAAGAGGGCCCCAAGACGAGCCAAGAGGGCCCCAAGCGGCCTCCAAGACGGTCCACGGCCACGAGACGTCAAGATCGGCCCAAGACGTCCCAGATGGCCTCACAACGGCCCATAAGGCCTCCAGGGCGCCCCAGGTAGTCTCCAAGAGGCCTCCAGGGCGCCCCAGGTAGTCTCCAAGAGGCGTCCCAAGAGGGCCCCCAAAATCAAAAATCTATGATTCCCGTCAGGTTTTTGACAGATTTTGGCGTTCTCGCCTCTTCGGCTTTCCGGCGCTCCAAGATGGCCCAAGAGGCCCCCGATACCACCCCACAACGGCTCAAGAGGCCTTCAAGAGACAAGACGGCCCAAGAGCGCCCCAAGACAGCCCAAGAGGCACCCAAGACGGCCCACAGGGCCCAAAGACGGCACCAAAAGGAGCCCAAGAGAGGGAACACGAACCGAACATCCCAGCCTTCCGCCACAAGAGGCCCCAAGAGGCGCCCAGGAGGCCCCGAGAGGCAGGTTTCAGATGACCCGCTCGAATTCGAACATGGAGGTGGGGACCCCGTAGGGAGGGGCTCCCGCTCGAGACGTCCTCGCGATTCACCCCCAAGAGGCCCCCAAGAAATAGGTCCCCAAGAGGCCCCGAAACGGTCCCGCCTCCAAACTGCCTCCAAGAGGCCCCCGAGATGCCTCTCACGAGATACCAACGAACATCCAACAGGTTTCTTCATACCCACAACCCCAGCACGGTAGCGGGATGGGCCGCAGGCCATTAGATCCGCCGCCCCCTGTTGGCTTGCCACAGGGGTGCCCGGCGTGCTGAACCCTTTCGCTTTTGGTTATTTTAAAACTCCCCCTGGGGCTTCGGCCCGTCCCGCCGGCCACCCGGAAGGTCCGGAAACCACCGCAAACCACCCCATCGTCCACAAAAAAATCCAAGACGCTTCAAGATGGCCTCTAAGGTGGTCGGGGTGGCCCAAGATTGCCTCCAAGATGGCCCAAGTTGTCCTCCAAGACGGCCCAAGAGAGTCCAAGATGCCTTCAAGTTCAAGATGACTCTAAGATGGCCTAAGACTGCCCAAGAAGTCCCCAAGAGGCCTCCAAGAGCTCCCCTAGGAAGGTTCGAAAGGGTCAAAATCATTGATTATCCTAAGGTTTTGTGTTACAGATTTTCACATTTTCTTCTTTTCAGATCTCCGGCGGCCCAAGACGGCCCAAGAGGCCATCAAAATCGCCACAAGAGTGCCCAGGAAGCCTCCAAGACGGCTCCCAGGCCCCCAAGAGGCCCCCAAAAGGCCCCCAAGAGGCCCCCAAAAGGCCCCAAGACGGCCCAAGAGGTCCCCAATAATCCCCAGAAGGCCTCCAAGACGGCCAAGATGGCCTCCAAGATGCCTCCAAGTCAGGAAGTCGGCCAAGATGGCCTCTAAAACTGCCAAGATGGCCCCAAGATGCACCCAAGACGGCCTCAAGATGGCCTAAGACTGCCGAAAAGGCCCGCAAGAGGCCTCCAAGACGGCCCAAGAGCCTTCCAAGATGTCTTCCAGGAAGACCCAAGACGGCCCAAATGTGCCCCAACATGGCCTAAGGCAGGCTAATGGGCCCGCAAGAGGCCTCCAAGACAGCCCAATAGCTCTCCAAGACGACCTCCAGGAAGGCCCGACAGGGCCAAAATCATTGATTTTCCTGAGGTGTTCAAAAGACTGCCCAAGGCGGCCCAAGAGACCCCCAACATCGTCCCAAGAGCGCCCAAGAAGCCTCCAGGATGGCCCCATGACAACCCAAGAGGCCCCCAAGAGGCCCCCAGGATGCCCTCAGAAGGCCCCAAGACTGACCAAGAGGCCCCCAAGACGCCCAAGATAGCCTCCAAGACGGCCAAGATGGCCTCCAAGATGCCTCCGAGACGGCCAAGATGGCCGTCCAGACGGCTCAGATGGCCCGAAGATGCACCCAAGACGGCCCCAGATGGCCTGAATGTGGCATTCGACGCCAAAAGGCCCGCCAGAGGCCTCCAAGACGGCCCAAGACCCTTCCAAGACGTCCTGCAGGAGGCCCGAAAGCTCAGAAACTACCTGGTCCGATAGCTCGCCCGACTCCGTGTTCCCCGAAGGATCCGAAACCCACTCGGGGAACGCGTTGCCCGATAGCTTGGCCAAGCTCAAACCCAACTTTCGGCCACGCAGGCGCTTCCAAAAAGGCAGGGTGCGGCGGTGATTCGCCGTAGGCGTCTTCGATAACGATATATATATATATATATAAATATGAGTGAGAGAGAGAGAGGAAGAGAGAGAGTACGAAAGAAAGAGAGAGAGAGAGAGAGAGATCCATATATACACAAACACACACACAAACACACAGGCACACACGCACACACACACACACACACGCACATACACACAAACAAACACACGCACAACGCCGCCTCTCGGGCTCAGCTGCTCCAAGTCTTCCTTGCGCCAAGGGGGGAAGGATAGCGAAAGGGGAAAACAAGAGAGAACAGGGGGCAATGAGAGAGAAAGACAAAATTGGAAAGGGGTGGCGGTAGGAAAACGAGAGAAGAGAGAGAGAGAGAGAGAGAGAGAGAGAGAGAAAAAAAGAGAGGGAGGGAGAGAGAGAGAGAGAGAGTGATAGAGAAACTTGCAGACTGACAGACAGACAAGGACCAGGAGACGGAGGGAAAAACAGACAAGAAAAAACGCGTCCTGTGGACGTTGGGCAGGGGGGGGTCGAACCAGGCCGCCCCAAGGGGAGTTCGAACCCGGCGGGGGGCCCCCTCCTCAAGGGGGGGGGGTCAAACGGGGGGGGGGCCACCCCCTGAATTGCAAGGGGGGGGGGGTTCGAGCCAGGGGGGTACACACCTCTGTCCAAGAGGGGGGGCTCGAAGTGGGGGGGGAATGCCCCTCCCCCTTCAATCCAAGAGGGGGGGGGTTGAACCGAGAGGGAACTCCCTCCCTCCTCGCCCCCCCCTGCAACCGACGACGGCGAGCGCCGGCGCTGGCGCCGGCGCCGTCGGGCAGCGACGGCGACGACGACGACGACGACGACGACGACGACGGCGGCGCCGGCGACGGGGACGGCGACGGCGACGGCGGCGACGGCAACGGCGACGACGACGGCGACGGCGACGGCGACGGCGAAGGCGACGGCGACGGCGACAGCGAGATCGGAGGCAACGGCGACGACGACGGCGACGGCGGCGACGGCGAAGACGACGGGGACGGCGACGAAAACGGTGACGACGGCGAGCGGCGGCGACGACGACGACGACGACGGCGACGACGACAACGACGGCGACGACGACGACAAAGACGACGACAACGAAGACGACGACGACGGCGAAAGGCGGCGATGACGAGGACGACGGCGACGTCGACGGCGATGGCGACAGCGAAGGCAATGGCGACTGCGACGGCAACAACGGCGACTTGCGACGGCGAATGGCGACGACAAGGACGAGCACATCGGGGGGAGGGATGCCTGGTTCCCCCGCCCCCCCTGCAACTCAGGGGGAATTCCCCCCCCCACCCACGGTGCGAATCCCCCCCTTGTCACTCACAGGGGGCGCCCCCTCGGGCGCCGTGGCGCCCCTCAGGAGGCCGAAAAAGGACGTAGCGCCACCCAGCAGGATTCCACTTCGTCACCCCCGCCTTGGACGGCCCCCCCGTTTCGAGTTCCCCCCCCCCCATTTGCAACTCGGGGGGGGCCCGGTTCGACCCCCCTTCCCCTTGGACTCCATGGACGGGGGGCCGGCCGCGCCCCGTTCGAACCCCCTCTCTCTTGCGGGTGGGACCACACCCCCGTTAGGGAGGCCGGTGCCCAGGGGCCCAGAGGCGGGGCCCCGCCGGGTTTCCCAGGGGCGTTCAATGTTTTGCCCCCCCCTCCAATTCCAACGTGTCCAGGCACGCGTCTACGAAACACGTTCTCTTAAAGATAACGACGGTGTGTGAGAGAGAGAGAGACAACAATAATCGTCATCGTGACCAAACTTAGAATTCACACCCGCACCCAAGCAAGCAAAAACATGATCGGCCCACGAAACGCGAGGCATGGTTTACGTTTTCAAGACGCCTGATCGGGCGACAAGCAAACACAATGTTGCATGTATCGATAGTGATGTACTGTGCCAAAGATTGTGCTGTGCTGTGCCCTGTTGGAATGAGATGTTTCATGCTGCGATGGATCGCGTTGTGCTCTTTTGCGCTGTGGAATGAGTCGCCCTTGGCATCCGAATCTTGACCGAACTGATCTGGATCGTAAGCTCGAGCTGTCTGAGCGCGCAGATGGCCCAGAGCTGGTTGCACTCGAAAGGTGAGGGGCGCTCAATCAGCTTGAGCTCAAGACCCGACTCAACTCCGAAGCCGGACGAGACGACACGGGGCGCACGGCGGATGGACGTGCCACGGGGCAAACTCGGGGATGCGCCAAGGGACGTATCAGGGACGTACCACGGGGCGCGGCAAGGGACGCGCGGCGGAACGGGCAGGGAAAGCGCCAAGGGACAAGCCAGGGAACGCGCCAGAGGACGAGCCAAGGGACGTGCCGAAGGGGGAGGAGCATACGCCGTGCCGCTCTAGGGCGTCAGGAAGCAATGTTTTCACGCTTGTCCCGCTCTGGGGCGTTAGGAACCCGCGTGGTTTCGCGCTGTTTCCGCCCTGGGACGTTAGGAAACACAATATTTCCACGCTTGGTCCGCTCTGAAGCGTTAGGAACCAATGCGTGTTCACGCTTGTTGTGCCCTGGACGACCGTCGTGCTGTGCTGTGCAGTGCTGTGCTGTGCTGTGCTGAGCTGTGCTGAGGCGCTATGCTGTGCTGTGCTGTGCTGTGCTGAGCTGTGCTGTTCTGAGCAGAGCTGTGCTGTGCTGTGCTGAGCTGTGCTGAGCAATGCTGTGCTGCGTACGTGCTGTGTGTCAATGTGCTGTGTGGTGAGGAGAGCAAAAGGGAGGAGGGGAGGTGATGAGGAAGACGCGGGTGCGACGCGGGTGGGAAGAAAACCATAACCCCACGAACCATGTAGGGAAAAAGCCTTGTACATGGGATCGTGTGACGTATGAGAGAGCGTGATCCACCGCCGCTTTACTGTGGAAAATTGCCGCCCTTTTCCTCCGGAACCCGGGGGTCCCCCCCCCCCTCCGAAAATCCCCCCCCCCCCCCCCCCCTCTCCATTGGCAAAACCCCCCCCCTCCCCAACCCCCCCCCCCCCCCCCCTCCCCCTCGAAAACCGAGGGGGTCACTACCGGTTCGAACCCCCCCCCCTCGAAAACGGAGGGGGGGGTGACTACCGGTTCGAACCCCTCCCCCCCCCCCCCCCCGTCACCTCCAGCAAACGACTCCCGGTCCCTACCACCGCCCTCACCACATCCCCCACTGTTGTTCCCAGCACCACTCCTCACCACCACTGTCCCCACTCACCACCACCCCCTCCCCGGTGCGTGTCGTGTCCCCACTGTGTCCCCACTGTCCCCACCACTGTTCCCACAACGGCTCCACTCTCCCAACTTTCTCCACGGCCCCGACCACTGCCCGACTGTCCCCACTGTCCCCACTGTCCCACTGACCCCTCCGCTGTCCCACTGAGCTGTCCCACTGTTCCCACCACTGTCCCCACTGTCCCCACCACTGTCCCCACTGTACCTATGTCCCATTGTCCCACCGCCGTCCTCGCCACCGCCTTCACCACTGTCCCCACCACCACTGTACCCTCCACTGTCCTACTGTTTCCACCACGTTCCCACTGTCCCCACACCAATGTCCCCACCACCGCCGTCCCCACCACTGTCCCACTGTCCCCACTGTTCCCACCATTGTCCTCACCATTGCCCCCACCACTACCGTCCCCACCACTGTCCCACTGTCCCCACCAGTCCCGCTGTCCCCTCACCACTGTCCCCACCACCACCGTCCCCACCACTGTCCGCACCCCCACCCGGTTTTCGAGGGGGGGGGGGTTCGAACCGGTAGTGACCCCCCCCCGGTTTTCTAGTTCGAGGGGGGGGGGTTCGAACCGGTAGTGACCCCCCCCCTTTTCATGATGAACTGGGGAGGGGAGAGGAGGGGTTCGAACTGGTAGTGACCCCCCCCCGGTTTTCCGGAGGGGGGGGGGAGGGGTTCGAACCGGTAGTGACCCCCTCCGGTTTTCCGCCAGCAGCGGTAGATCATGCTCTTTCCGATATGAGAAGCGGCAAAGGCTCTTACCTGATATTTGGGTCTTTTGCTCTACCGTTTCAAGGCAACCTCATGCTACAATAACTCATTCGGTGGTGTTCTTGTTGCAAGCGGGTTGGTGCCCTTGGAATTTGTACTGTTGCCACCCCAAGGATGAATTGGACAACTTGTCTGCAAGACGAACTGCTGCACACGTCTCGTCATTCAAATATCCAGGACACAAAAAACCCTTCTACTGGGATGAATTCCAAGAGGCAGAAGCTTCAGCCAGAGATCCGGCCACACTTACAACACGAACACACACAATACAGATAACACGTGCTGACACAGTGAGGCAAATTCGTGTCGCCAATTCTGGCGTTGGTTTCTGAAACCGAATGGATTGTTCAAACTTGAATTGCCAGCGGATTTTTTATCGCCAGATTGTTTAATATTGGCCGATTCTGGGCAACCAGCGGCGTTCAGCTTTGAACGCCCGCGGCGGGGTCGTCTGCCGTAAAAGATTGCGCTCGGCGGAACAATCCCAAACCGAAGCCTGCTCGAGACTCTAACCACTAGCATTTTGTCGCTTCCACCTCTCTCTCTCGTTCTCTCAAACGTCGTGCCCCTCAGCAACATGACGCTTCCCACGATGTACGGGTTTGCAGTCCAGGTTTTCGAAGCTGACTGGCCCAAACCTTTCGAAGACACAGCTGCGCGAACTACGCGACAGGCTGTCCTCCGTGCAAGGGCAGAAGGAGTTCGGATCCACTGTGGGCACCGAGCAGGAGATGCCGCGCTCGGAGTATCTCGGGCCAGCTCCAATGCGAAGTCTCCTTCGTCGCTGTTATGCTCCAGCCTCCCTCACAATTGTGTTCGGTACCATGGTCGCGCCATTCCACTTATCCAACCCCCATCGGCCAACCCTGGTGTTAGAGCATGCCTTTCCATGGCGCAATTGATCCCGACCATCCTGTGGTGCTGTGTCCTCGCTTTGATGAGACACAGCCCCGCGTTCTTATCCTCCTCCCGCCTCCTTCCTCCCCCTCCCCCCTCCCATCATCATCGTCATCATCCTCATCTGCATAGCCAGCCATCAGCATAACCATAATCATCATCACCGCTACCACCACCATCATCATCATCATCATCATCATCATCATCATCATCATCATCACCATCATAATTTGTATCCGCGTGCTGCTCACTGTTGTTGTCCATGGGCGCCCGTCCACCCACACTAGACGGGCCAGTGGCGAAGCAAGGCAGATTGGATAGGAGCGGACGAAAATGGACCTGGGCTTTAGCACCAGGATAGGCATCTCACCTTTTTCAGCTTGTTACGCGACTATTTGTGCTGCCAGCCTCTGCGAGCTCGAGACGGGCAACTCCTCAACTTCTAGAACTGAAAGCCGGGACTGACTCCCCGTCGGCGCATTCAAGAAGTCCAGTGCACTCGGGGGTGGACCAGCCAAAACACTGAGGAAAGAAAACATAATACATCACTCACACTAAGTCACACTCACTGCCCTCGTCGTCCAATAATGTGCATCCATGTGCTGCTCACTATTGTTGTCCAGGGACGCCCGCCCACCCACGCCAGACATGCCTATGGCCAAGCCAGGCAGATTGGATAGGAGGGGATGAAGATGGACCTGGGCTTTAGCAGCAGGATCGGCATCTCATCCTTCGGCTTGTTACATGACAGTTGCATCGGAGAGACGGGCAACTCCTCAACTTCTACAACGGAATGGTCCGGCCAGTTTCGCTTGAGACATCCTCGAAACTCTGACCTCGGAGATGCCACGCGAGAGGTACCCGGACTGATCCCCCGTCGACGCAGTCTGAGCCGTGGCAGACATGACCATAATACCATGATGCTTGAACCCGCTCCCACTTGTGACCTGCCCCAAATCGAATGATGACTCATCTGTCACAGCCCACTCCCGCTTGCGACCTGAGTGAATTGCGAACTGTCGAGGACGCAGCGGAGCCAGCCGAACCAGACGGGCGGGTAAACATGCGGTGGGGCCCCTTCAATTTGCAGCGGCGCACGTAGCCATTTCATGTCAATGGCAGTATCGATGCTCTGGTTAATCTTGTCCGTGAGCGCATCTAGAGAAGCTCAAGAGCTTGCCAGGCGCCTCACCGAGCGGCAGCGTGCATGATGGCACGGCAGCGCCCCCAGCTTCGAAGCGCAGCGCGAGCCCGCTTCAGCTCTCTCTTCATGCGAGGAAAGAACTTCAACTGCCGCCAACAGGTCGCAGCATTTCGACGGCGACAGCAAGGGCTCGCAAGCTTGTGCCCCGCCAGCGCGTCGCCCCTCTGGTCCAGGCCGACGGGGTTGAAGCTGTTGGCGATGGCCCGCGCGGTGAAGGCGCGGGCCTCGCGTCGGTGGGTCTATGGTCTGCGGCTTGGCTCGCTGGACGTAGTGGTGATCGAGCCGTCTCGCCCCGCGCCGCCTCATTTGCGTCGCGACAGTCAGTCGGCTGCCTAGTGCCAGGTGCCCAACCAGGGTAGCGCGAACACGATGCCTGATGCCGCGCGCATGGCCGCGCGACGTCGGAGCAGCAAGTTGAGGCTCACTGCCGTCGAGCGACCTTCGGCCATTCCCGCCGAGAGGCCCTCGCTGTCCCCCAGGTTCGCGACCGATTAGCCGCGCGCCCCGGGGGCGCAGCTGAGCGCGGCCAGCAGCTTGATCGCGGCACGGCCTTCGCCCAGTGTGATGTGATCCGGGCGCTTCCAGCTTCCTGCTCCCAGTTCAGTCCAGTCCTGTCGCGGCTTCACGAGCAGACTCCTGGGGGCGAGAGACACAGCGGCGCGGCTGGCGATCTCGCGGTCGGCCCTGTTCAGGTGGCCGGCCCCGCCGTGAAGGCAGGCCGCGGCGCGCCCAGGCCGCGCCCCCGCCGTCGCCAACTCCCCCATCTGGTCGTTGTCGGCCTTCGCGCCCACGATGCCGTAGCCGCCGAAATCATCGTCGTTGACGCCCTCCGCGTCGGACGAGTAGACGCGGGACGCCGCTGGCTGGCCCAGCTTGCACTCCACGGCGGGAACCAGGCGGGCCATCGCCTTGAGCTCGCGTCGCGCCGACGGCCGCCAGCGGATCACCTGGTCAGCGTGCCAGTCCATCGCGCGGAAGAGCGCGTGGGAGATGGCCAGCAGCTCGCGCCTCCGGAGGGCGCCCCGCAGCCAGGGGCCCACCGCCGCCCTGACGAGCTGCGCGTCGATCCAGTCGACCTCCAGCAGCCAGCGGCAGCTTTCGCGCAGGAGCCAGCCCTTGTGCGGGTCAAAGCGCAGCGCGGGGGGTATCTCTGGATCCTGTGCCCCGCGGCCCTCAAGTCGTTGGCCGCCCTGGCGTGCTCGGTGACCAGGAAGCCCCGGGACCCCCAGCCATCTGCGACCTCCTCCATCAGGATATCGCACCGAGGCTCCGCGCCCTCGCGGCTGACCGTCATCAGCAGCCCGTCGCCCACGTGAACGTAAGCAGCGGCGTCGCCCTCGGCCACCAGGTACTTCCCCCATTTCTGGTAGTTCTCGTTGAGCATCGCGAACTTTCCTCCTAGCGGACCCTCCACTACTCGATTCCAGCGGGACGTGCGAGGTCGCGCTGCCGCAAGGAAGCGAGCGCCCCCCCAGGCCTCCACGACCGTCTCGCAGATTGACCAGGGCACGGGTAATGCACCATCCAAAGAAACGGCGCAAGCCTGACGTTTTGCTCTGCGGACGACGAGAGGCGAAAACTCCCTGAGCATTTTGTCCCTTGATAGCGTCGCGGGTGACGGCCGTCGCACAGCAACGGGCCCTCGTCGAGACCGAGGAGGCTGGACCTGTGGGTTTTTGGGCCACCCACCCGCGCATGCACAAGTCTACCTGCCAAATATAATTGAAGTTTGTTGTTGTTTTTTCTTTGGCCCACCTCTAAGTTAAGGCGCCCTCTCGGAGGGCGCCTCAAACGATGTAGGGGCCATGGTACGCCGAGGGGTACAATCGGCAGGATGTATCATCATCGTCTCTACGCTCTCATCACAATCCATATTCATCATCCCTCCTCATCATCGTTTCAACGCTCAACGCTCTCCTTTTTTCTCCTCCTCCTCCTCCTCCTCCTTCCTCCTCCCCCCTCCCTCACCCAGTGCGGTGATGGTGATGACGGGTCCAACAGCGATGATGATGTGATGTGACGCATTGATGGTATTGGCAGCGAGTGCGATGATATTTTTTCCAGTGCTACCCCAAACCCCTGACTGACGCAGAAGCGTCCACTTGCAGAATCCTACGATGGAAGCCCTGCGCTGTGAATTTGTTTTTGCGGCCATCAAAGGCAGCCAGCTTGCCAGACCTCAACAATGCAAAGAGATTCCACGCCTTCTCGTTTGCCTTTAAGGCTGCCCAGCCCTCAGCGCGCAGCTTCCACTTGCAACCCGGAGCATTGCCCACGGCTAGCTGTAGGAACTTGCAGAAAGAGGCCTGGTGCACTAAGAAGCCTGGGCTGATACGCGCTGCCCTAGGGATGTGGCCACAGGAAGTAAACTTGGCAGCCGCCCCCTGCCCCCCGCCAGAATTCAGCAGCATTGGAGAAATCTGGCAGGCACCCCGCAGCGCCGAAGCAACGCTAATACACGCATCTACATTGCCGGGCGTCCGCACAACAAAACAATCTGAGTCATGTTTTGACCCGATCGTCATGCCATTGCCCGCAATTGCGCGCGCCACTGCCGCTCCGCCGCAATGAATTTCTACAAAAACGCGCTTGCCTTGAAGAAGCCGGAGGACGGATTTCCCCGACACGCCCCTCAGAGCAGCTTGCACGCGCGTTGCTTTCCTCTGCCGGGCCTGGTGGTCTTCCACGCGTTTCTGTTGCTTTGCGGCCAGGGCATCTTGGAGGCCTGGGGCCACTTCATGCTCGAGCAGAGCTTTCTCTCCTAGAGCATCAATATTATTCTCCAGTTTTTCTGGAAAGCAAGCTCCTTATCATGGGTGTGGCACCACTCGGCGCCGCGCTCGATCTCACTGAAGACCGTGGCCGAACAACCAGCTATATGAGCGCTTCTCCGACGTTTCCTAATGAACTGGGCTTCCGAACCAGCCGAAGCAGCTAGCTCGCGCTTGACGCCGATATCAGCCCGACGGCGTTCGGGGTCCTTGCAATGATGGCGCACTCCACTGTAAACAGTTTTGAAGATGTCAATGATTCTGGGAATCAGCTTGCTTTGGTCGTGCTGCGGTAAGTCCAAACAGGGTTTGACTGAAATTTCCTCGGTGTCCTGCAGCATGTGCAAACGCTGAGATGATGCACACATGGTCGTTTTTGAGAAGCTCTGCTCAACGCCAGGTGGGGGCACAGAAACAAGCGTAACCAGCCAAGGCCGCAGAGAGGACATTGGTGGGGTGGTGCTTTATCGCCCATGGCTTCGTCATCTGCTCTAAGACTCCTTTCCACAGCTTGATGTTGTCGGAGCCTCCTCCGCTTGAACGGGCGTGGGCTCGCGGAAACATGTCCTGCCATTGAGCCTGAAGTTTGGCCGCGTCCAGTTGGAGGCCCCGTGCGATTCTGGCAATGTGTGGGCCAGGGTTGTTGCGCATGGCGCTGTTGGCATCGAATATCCTGGAATCCTTATTGGTTGAATCCACTAGACTGGCATGTTGCATTGCCCCCTGCCCCTTCCCCTCCCCGGGCCCGTTCCCGACGTCGAAATATGACGCACGTCAGAAAAAACACGAAAACAAAAACAAGAAATCTTCAACATACCATCCAGTTTACTCAACCCTGTGCCTGTCCGATCTCCCAGCTTGGGAATTCAGAGTCCAA